CCTCCACTTGAGGTAGGACCTCTCTCCCGACCCGGAGTTGGCAAGCCATCCTTTCCCGGTTGAGAACCATGGTCTCAGATTTGGAGGTGCTGATCCTCATCCCAGCCGCTTCACACTCGGCCGCGATCCTACCCAGCAAGAGCTGAAGGTCAAAGCTGGATGAAGCTAAGAGGACCACATCATTCGCAAAAAGCAGAGACGAGATTCTCCTGTCACAAAACTCGACACACTCCACACCACGGCTGTGCCTAGAAATTCTGTCCATAAAAGTTATGAACAGAACTGGTGACAAAGGGCAGCACTGGTGGAGTCCAACCCTCACCGGGAACAGGGCCAACTTACGGCTATGCGGACCAAACTCACGTTCCTCTGGTAAAGGAAGTGAATGGCCCTCAATAAAATGCCACCCACCCCATACTCCTGAAGCATCATCCACAGGGTGCCCCTGGGGACACGGTCATAAGCCTTCTCCAAATCCACAAAACACATGTGGATTGGCTGGGCAAACTCCCATGCCCTCTCCATCACCCTTGCAAGGGTATAGAGTTGGCCCACAGTTCCACGGCAAGGAAAAAAAAACCACATTGCTCCTCCTCAATCTGCGATTCAACATGTTGTAGAGACATGTCAACCACGACAGCCCTACCACATCCATAGCCTTGAGGGACCCAGGATGAATCCCATCCACAATTGGGGCTCCGCCGCTGTGTAGTTGTTTGACTTTCTCAGCAACTTCTGCCCCAGAGACTGGACAGTCCATCCCCAGGTCTCCCGGCTCTGGCTCCTCCTCGGAATGGGTGTAGGTAGAATTCAAGAAGTAAAGTATTCCTTCCATCGCCCGACTATAGCCCCAGTTGACGTCAGCAGCTCCCCACCCCCAATGTAAACAGTATGAGTGAGTTGCTGCCTCCCTCTCCTGAGGCGCCGGACAGTTTGCCAGAACCTCTTTGGCACCGATTGATAGTCTTTCTCCATGGCCTCACCAAACTCCTCCCGAGATTTTGCCTCGGCAACTGTCACTGCTGCACCCTGCTTGGCTATCCGGTACCCGTCTGCTGCCTCCGGAGACCCACAGACCAGCCATGCCCTGTAGGCCTCCTTCTTCAGCCTGACAGCTCCCCGAACCTCTGGGTTCCACCAGCGGGTACGGGGGTTGCCACCACGACTGGCACCGGCCACCTTGTGACCACAGCCAGCAACAGCTGCCTCAACAATCGCAGAGTTGAACAAGGCCCACTCGGAGTCGATGTCCCCGACTGCTCTTGAGACGCGGTCAAAGCTCTGCCGGAGGTGGGAGTTGAAGACCGTCTTGACAGATTCTTCTGCCAAGCGTTCCCAGCAGACCCTCACTATGCGTTTGGGTCTGCCAGATCTAAGCGGCATCTTACCCAGCCATCTGATCCAACTCACCACCAGGTGGTGATCAGTTTACAGCTCCTCTCCTCTCTTCACTCGGGTGTCCAAAACATATGGCCTGCGACCTAGGCTGCCCTGGTACCAAGTGTACCGATGGGCATCCTTATGTTCGAACATGGTGTTTGTTATGGCCAAAGTGCAGCTTGCACAGAAGTCCAATAACGAAACACCACTCGAGTTCATATCAGGCGTGCCGCTCCTCCCAATCACACCCCTCCAGGTCATGCTGTCATTGCCCACGTGAGCATTGAAGTCCCCCAGCAGGACAATGGAGTCCCCTGATGGAGCACTATCTAGCACTTGTCCCAGGGACTCCAAAAAGGGTGGGTAATCTGAACTGATATTTGGCGCATAAGCACAAACAACAGTCAGGACCCATTCCCCGACCCGAAGGCGCAGGGAAGCTACCCTCTCGTCCCCCGTGGTAAACCCCAACACACAGGCAGAGTCTTGGAGCTAACAAAAAGCCAACCCCAGCCCTCCGCCTCTCACCAGGAGCAACTCCAGCAAAGGAGAGTGTCCAACCCCTCTCAAGGACTTGGGTTCCAGAGCCAATGCAATGTGTCGAGGTGAGTCCGATACCGCTCAACCTCTGCCACAAGCTCCTGCTCCTTCCCTGCCAGCGAGGTGACGTTCCATGTCCCAATAACCAGTTTCCTTGTCTGGGGATCAAACCGCCAAGGCTCCTGCCTCAGTCTGCCACCCGATCCCCACTGCACCGGACCCTTCATGTTCCTCCTGCGGGTGGTGGGTCCACAGTTGGATGAGCCCATGTATCTGGTTCGGACTGGGCCCGGCCAGGCCCCATGGGCAAAAGCCCGGCCAACAGGTGCTCGCTCACGTGCCCCAACCCCAGGCCTGGCTCCAGGGTGGGACCCCGGTTACCCTCCGGGCCGGGTACTCCAACTCTGTTTTTACGTCCATGAAAGGTCTTCTGAGCCGTTCTTTGTCTCACTCTTCACCTAAGACCCATTTGTCATGGGAGACCCTACCAGGGGCACAAAGTCCCCCAGACAACATAGGTCCTAGGATCATTAGGGCACTCAAACTCCTCCACCACGATAAGGTGACGGTTCAAAGAGGAGGAAAACCATCCTATATATGTGAATATATAATCTGGCCTTGTGGTAAATAATGTACAGTTTTCTTTCAAACTGTCTCTGCATGCTATTGGACATTGATGATGGTAAACTTGATTATTTGTACTGAAACAAGTCAGAATGAGCCACTCACCAAAATGATTCTGGTTTTTTGAGTCACTGAGTCGGTTGTCTAGAGTGCAAAAAAATTTACATTTTTTTCTCAAACTTAATTTACTCCTCATTCTCTCCAAATTCTACCACTAAAATGAGTGGTTGAAAAAAAGAAAATTATTCATTGTATACACAGAATTATTTTTTGAATAGTGGAACAACTGAGTTGATATTTGTTTTTATTTAGTCTTATTATCTTGTAAACCAAGTGTAGACAGTCAGAGTTCAGCTCAGTTGAAGAAGCGACTCTTTCATGGTTAGACAGCCTGAGGTTCTGCAACTGAGAGCCGGAGATAGGGGTGAGTAAGTCGCATGTGGTAACGCGAGCATCCACTGGGTGACTTGAAACCCGGGTTGGAGGGGTGAGTGATTTCTACCACAAGCTATGTAAGTTAGTGAATTTACTGCCGCAAAATCCCACTGAGTGACTCGTATGACCTGGAAGGGAGGTAGTGAGTGAGTTGATATTCTTCTGAGTGAGGCCAGCTATGAAGGAACTAAATTATTTGTTTAGTCTATGATTCATTACTAGACATATCCAATGGAGCAGAGCTAGACTGACCTGCAGAGCAAAATCATTTTCTTCGGCTATTGTCTGTCTAGATTTCTGAAGACCTCTGCATGCCCCCTCGATATCTTACCCTCATCTTTGTTTAAAAGTACTTTTTAGTCCATCGGCCCCAGCATGCTCTACATAATTAATGCTTTTCTGGTTTCTGGTCAGGCCCCTGCTTACTTTAAGAACACTGTAATCCACCCGCTTCTTAACAAACTGAGTCTTGAATCCTTGCTCCATAGCAGCTTCAGACCCATCTGTTAACTTCATAGGTTAACTTCCGTTCATCTCCACGAATTTGTAAAAGTTTCTGTAGCGTCCAGCACTGGCCAATTTGGGGACAGTCTGACCTTTCACCATCTATTAAAGGCACAGTCCGCAGGATGACACCGTCGGGGTGAGGAGGAGGAGATTTTTAAATTTGAACGGCTGTTGCTCACTCCCCCGCCCTTCCTGAAAGAGCCGAAAGCCACACCTCCCAATGTGCACGCGCAGGAAAAGCAGTCAACATCGGAGCATTGCTTCTTGTAATAGAGCTGAGCTAGTGTTAGCAATGGAGTTATCTGAGGTAAGAAAGATGTATTTAACCAGCACATTAAACACTTACTGTTTACAAAAGGCATTTTATAAAGAATATCTATAACTATGTTTATATTTTAAAATACCAGTAACAGTTGGCAATCTATATTGTAAATAAAATTAATCCTATCAAATTGTTAGCATTTTATTACAAGTAACTAGCTTATTTTTAATTGCTTTGCCATTCAAGATGGGATGAATATATCAAAGCATATAAATAATTTATGTGGAAATCATGAATAAACACTGCATTCTGTGTAGTCCTCCTATAATCATGGTTGTTTTCATAGGGTTTCTGTTTATTGTTGGTTTAGCCCAAATTTTGACTAGATGTAAACCTGATCTGTGTCAAAATTGATTAATATGCAAGAGAACTTTTTATATTAGTATAATTTTTTTTATTCTAATACAATTTAGAGTTCAGTGATTGAGGAATCCTCTGAGGAAGAGTTTGAACCTCCTATTGCATCCTCAAGACGTGGTGCAAAAAGGAGATGCCCACCATCATCTCAAAGCTGTGGTGCATCCAGAGGCCGTGGTGTGTCTAGAGGCCACGGTGAATCCAGAGGCCGAAGAAGTGTGAGACACTCAGCTGTGGACCTTGGAGATGATCTCTCTCGAGTTCGGAATCTTTGTTCCGAGCGAATAGACTTTGAACGTGTAAGCATAACTGTTGCTGTAGCATCTCTTTCCACTTTTGTAGCAACACATACAGAACCTGAACCCTCAGCAGGCTATTGACATCCTTACCATGGTGCTGGACAGACACTGGTGTTCTCTTTGATGTACTTGCCCTCTCTGGTCCACCTGCCACAACACCTCCAACACCCAATCAACCTTCATGGTGTGTATGCTCCCACTGCAGAGATATGCCAACTGATTTGGAAAAGAAATGCTGCCAACAGCCTCCCCAGACATGTATTTCAACTGTACCACACATGGAGTTTATTCTGCAAAATTCCCTGACCCCAATGGTAACTACACTGGTTTTATTCCAAGACGATTGTAAATAAATGTATATATTTGATATTTTACATAAGTTTGTTTTTATACATTTTTGTTTGATGCTCTAATAAAGTGTTCTAAAGCACAACTCTGTGTTGCATTTGTAAAAATACCATAAATTTTAAAACTCCTGCACAACAACAAAAAATTATGTCTACCTCCAACATTTTACATAAATTTTTTAATTATTAGTCCTTATTTCCCCAAAATATATCTTTATTTTCAAAAAACAAACAAACACAGGAAACAAAAATAAAGAAGGTTTTGGGTTTTCTCTTGCCTCCCCCAACACCTATGTCTGTGGCAAAGTTTTACCTGTAAATAAAAAATAAACTCAATTAGCAATGGACTATTGTGTGGAAGATGTAAGGCAGATAATGTTTTATTTTACCATCACCGCAAGTCCGTAGGTGTTGTAGAAGTTCCTCTGTTGATGGTGCAGGAACTCCGGACAGCAAACCATAACGCCTTGGATCCTCAGGCCTTAGCTTGTAGCGTCGAGGAAGACCTTTCTTGCTTGTCAAACGTCGGTCAGTTGCTTCTGGGATATTACAGTCATGTATCCTCTATGTTAATTTCTTGCAGAGTCTCAAGTTGTAATATTTTTTGTAATGCTGCTCCAGTCCTGTGAACAAAAGCTTTTTATTAACTATGCGCTATTGCAGTTTTATAGAATGTTAAACCAGTGGTTCCCAAACTTATTTAGCCGCGCACCCCCTTCTATGTCCCGACCATGTCGACGCACCCCCCAGCCCCCACATCAGGGCATGGCTATATATATATAGATATATATATATATATATATATATATATATATATATATATATATATATATATATATCAGACGTCAAGCTAAACAGACAGGGTTAAAAAAATATGATCGACCTTTTTCCCCATCACTTTCATTTTTTAAATAGTAATTAATAAACATTCGATACAATTACAATTTCCTTTGATTTAATTTTAAATAAATATTTAGAGTGCCCAGGTAGCACATAAACAATGCAATTTAACGGTTTTCCTAAAGTAGGAACGTTTAACCTGTGCGGCCAGAGCGCTCTCCTTCCCTCTGCTCTGCGTAAACCTGAACTGGTCACCTACTTGTGCGTAATCAAATGTCTATAGGGGAAAATATGGAAAAGCCATGAGGCTCACTTTTGCCTCAGACCGACTTATTGCTGTTTTATGGTGTGACTGAATCTGCGATCCGCTGCCACGCGGACTGGAATAACAAATGCTGCAACAGGGGTTGTAGTCAGGTTCGGAGTCACTGGCTGGAGCGGACCCGACTTTAATACGTCATCCCAAAATAGAAGCTAATATCTTAATTTGACCTGGAATGAAACATGTTATAAAACCTCTTAAAAGTTTTTATCACAGAGGAGGCAGCGCTGATTTCTGGGGCGCCGGAGTTTGCGCAGCGTGCGCTCTTACCCCCAAATTCCACTACCTCCGCCCCCGCCCTCCGCAGCCGCTCGCTTCCGAACTCAATTTTTACTGGTACCCGCTCTACAACGGCTCCGCTCCGGTGCGGAGACCTGAGGTGGGCAAACAAGCATGCGCGGGATTTTCGAGATCTTGCGATACAGTCCGAGCAATAAACGCGGAAGTTAGATCCAAACACCCGTTGTGTGGGAGAAGCATCAGCATGAACTGTTTAATCTGCCCATCATTTGTGTAGAGAGATCAGCAGTGTTTGGATCAACAAAGTGTGACTACTTTGATAGTAGAAACTGTATTTATGGCTTATTTTTGTGCATTTAAACTTCAGTCGCCACTGATAGTTGTTAAAAGTTGTTAAACCTGTGCATATGAAACAAAAAACGCCTTTTGTTTATCGATGTATTGTGAAAAACGGAAAGTGTGCTTGCTCCTTTTCCTGTTGGACGGTTGTGATTTCTGTCCATTTACTGCGGAGGTGCTCCGGCGTCCGGCGAAAATAGGATTGATTCTATTTTTGCCGGACGCCGGAACAGAGGGCGGCGCACGACGCCACACTGCCGGAGCACGGCCGCAGTAGTGGAATTGCTCTGATTGACTACAACGGGACCGATTTTGCTCCGGCGTTCGTGTCGGAGCAGAGCGGAGCGGAGGTAGTGGAATTTGGGGGTTATTGAATCTGCGTGTGTGTGTGTGCGCGCGGCACAGCTCCATGAGCCGCTCCAGTCACCGCGCCTCGTTATTTGGCGCTATTTAAACCAATGTTGTAAAATGACTTCTGCCCAGCCCAGATGTGCTCACTTGTGCAACCGTGAGCCGTGGTTCCGCTGGCACGCGTCTGACCTCTGACAGACGCACTCTGAACTTCAGATCTCCGGCACGCTGTCAATAGCCTGAATGGGAATCATTTCTTATTTATTTAGTTACATCCACAATGTTCTGTGGGTGAGGTTTACAATGTCAGAACACCTGCATGAGACAGGTGTTAATTACAATCTGCCAGAATGACTCACCTTCAGATTTCTCCAACATCGTTAAAAATTATCAAATACGGAACATATCGGCGTGCGCAGGCCAGAGTGCTGAAGCTCGGCGCATTGTTATTATGAAGCTAGGGCACATGTGGAGGGGACACACACGTGCACGCAAAAATATACTTGTTTTCAATTATATTTATTGTGCCCACTTACGTTTTCTTAGGCCCGCCCACAAACGAGTTTCTGGCTACGCTAATGGTGACATATGACAGACTTCTCTGAGCTCCGCAGCCATTACACTTTTCACCTCGCCCACCCCCTAGTGGCAGCTCGCGCACCCCCTAGCGGCAGCCCCCCCAGGGGTGCGCGCACCACACTTTGGGAATCCCTGTGTTAAACGAAAGGAATTACCTTATGTGTATATAAGGTGTGTAGTCCTCATCACCGCTGTCATCAGTACCGCTGTCCATCTCGATGGTTTCGTCCTCCTCTGAAGACGAATCAACTTCTGTTTCTTTGTTTGGTGACCATGTGTCATCTGATGACTATCCTGAATATACACAATATAAAGTTTTTAGAATGGAAAATTAGACACATTTTATTAACATCTGAATACTTACACAGAGTTTTGAATATTGTTGAACTCTTCCTCGTCAATGTTTGCTTCAATTCCCACACAAGATAACCTAAAAAAGTAATTATTGTTTACTTTTCCTGACAAATGTGACAGCCGTATACAGATACAACCTTGTACTTACATTTGTGAATATCCTTCTTTTTTAGTTTCACCTTGTTCCATCACCTCCTCCAAATTATCATCCCTATGAAAATAAAATACAAGCACAAGAATATGATTAGAATCAATACATATTTTGTCATTTTGAAGGTAACAGACCTCGTCTATTGGCCGTCATCATCACCCTCTCCTTATTTTTCTCACTACTTATTACGCATTTCTCTGTATCCACTAAATTCCTTCTTTACAAATAATTTCCTGTCTCTCTCTTTACATTTTAAAAACACAATTGTGTTATTTTTTTCTCATAAACTTTGAAATAAAAATATAATTTTTTAAAATATGTTTAATTTTGTTGTTGTGAAGTGTCTCAAGAGTTTTATCTTGAGAGGCGCTATATAAAATGTAGTTTTACTATTTATTCCTATACATTTTTTATAGTCATTCATTATCGCATTTCTAGAATTTTTTCAAAATAATCCACCACTAACTTAAAACAAACAGAGGCAAAATTATAATATTCCTGGTAGAGGTTTTTACGCAGCTATTTACCTTTCAGATGATCCGGGTCGGGGGAGAGGTCCTACCTCAAGTGGAGGAGTTTAAGTATCTCGGGGTCTTGTTCACGAGTGAGGGTAGGAGGGATCGGGAGATCGACAGGCGGATTGGTTCGGCGTCTGCAGTGATGCGGACGCTGAGCCGATCTGTCGTGGGGAAGAGGGAGCTGAGCCAGAAAGCCAGGCTCTCGATTTACCGGTCGATCTACGTCCCAATCCTCACCTATGGTCATGAGCTTTGGGTAATGACCGAAAGAACGAGATCGCGGATACAAGCGGCCGAAATGAGTTTCCTCCGTAGGGTGGCCGGGCTCAGCCTTAGAGATAGGGTGAGGAGCTCGGACATTCGGGAGGGACTCGGAGTAGAACCGCTGCTCCTCCGGATCGAAAGGAGCCAGTTGAGGTGGTTTGGGCATCTGGTCAGGATGCCTCCTGGACGCCTCCCCGGGGAGGTGTTTCGGGCATGTCCTGCCGGCAGAAGGCCCCCGGGTCGACCCAGGACACGTTGGAGAGGTTACATCTCCAATCTGGTCCGGGAACGCCTTGGGGTCCTGCCGGAGGAGCTGGTGGACAAGGCCGGGGAGAGGACGGCCTGGAGCTCCCTAATTGGGATGCTGCCCCCGCGACCCGGACCCGGATAAGCGGAGGAAGACGAAGACGAAGACGAAGACGATGATTCTCCATGAATGCTCGACAGAGCTGGCACTGGTGTTGGAGAAATAAACAGTTGGTGTAGATGTTGATGCTTCATATTTGGACTGATGACTGTAAAAAACAAAGCCCAAAAATTAGTGATCACAAGCTAAACAAGTCTCCCCAGCCTTCACAGATTTTTGCACGAGCTGATTATCATTCCTTTTATTTTAATATGGAGTTTTCACGTAGGTAAGACCACAAACTCAGACGTAATCTGTACACGTGGCCCACCCAGGTTAGCACAATATGTCTTTCAGTGCTAATGGAAACATAAGGTTTTGGATACGTTCCTGATCAATCACACGTAATTCTAACTGCTGAATCATCTCCTCAGACTTCTACAAGTTCTACATGAGCTGCTGATTACTCGTTTTAATCAAACACGCAGCTCAGGCAAGTGTAAACACCTAATTCAGCTTTCAAGATGCTAACTGAACCCCGCTAACGGGGAAGTTATAAACAAGGGCTTAAAACAATATACTGATGTGGCCTATAGTTAAACGCCGCACTAATCATTAGCTCCCATATAAACAAAAACATAAAATCCCCTTTCGTTACTCAAACTTCTTCCAATATGGCATAAATAGTTCGACTAGCATCGATTCATGTCGACTTAGCATTCAAACTAATGCTACATTAGCCAATAGGACACCGAGCATACAAAGCTTGTTTGCTCTATTACTTCTTTCAGTGAAAGAAAGATTATAAGTAAATTATCCGAAAAACAATAAATAACTTACCTGTCTAAAAGATACTTTGCCAACTCTTCATCCGTTTTCAGGCCGTGTAGATCACGACAATCTCTCCATCGTGTGTAAAACAATCTCCAATGTAAATTCTACTCGACTGTCTTAAACGTCTTACAGCCACTTTTGAAGAAGGGCTTTTAAACTTTTTAAATGTTTTTTTAGATGTGGAAGGCAGTCGAGGAATCGGTAATTTGGGGTTTTGTTGCTCCAAGTTTCTGCAGTAAGCCGAGTGAGGCGCGTGACACTGTTGTGCATGCTGAGATCTAATGCTCGTGCTCGATGATTGACAGCTGCCCCCTGGTGGAAACGCAGCGCTATTGGTCAACGCGTTAGGCTTGCAGAAATATTGGCTGAGCTCTACAGGGCAGGGGAGGGACTTAGGAGAAAATTGAAATATTAAAGATTATTTACTTTTTTTAATAAAATTGGGTCAGATGGCCAAAATCAAACATTTTTAAAGTTATTCTACATTTAAATGTTGCAGACTGTGCCTTTAACATCTGGTCAGAAAGGAGACACAATATTGCATGTGTTCCCTTTAAACGAGTCTGCCTACACACCAGCTGGGATTCAGACTCTGCAAGTCTGAATCATAAACAATAACTTTCTTTCCCAAGGTCTCATCTGTCGGCCTCCAGAAGAAAGAAGATCCAGCTCGAATCAGTTGCTAAATTCAAGAATGATTTAATAACTTATTTTATGATTTATAATCTAGAAAATCATTAAATAAACATTTGCTTATCACTACTTATGACAATTATAGTGTAACGAAAACTGAATGGATGTTATGTTTGTCTACTAGACTGCAATGTGTTCACCATGTTTTGACGACAAGGTCCTCACACCTGCTTACACAATAACAAGTATGGCTAAGTTAAACCCTGACACATAGTATTATCCTTGTCAGAACATCCTACATCAAGAAGACGTGCTTTTGAGTTGTCTTGGTAACATCTCCAAACTTGTCAGCCTCTGATTGGCTGTCCAAACCATAACAACTAAACTTTAAAACTAAAACACGCTGAGAGATTCGTTAGTTCTAGAGAATCGCTCAGACCGGCCATCTGTAGCAAAAACTATCAAAGATTTTGACACGTCGTCAAAATTGTTTTTGCACCTACTAAGCTGAGACAGCAAAAAATTCCTGCAGAACAAAGCTGATATTGTTAAACTCCTTAAGAGTTATTCCTGAGACGCAAGCTGATCCCAACCTGTGCTGCCTGTTGACAACTCTGGACTGCGGTCAATCTAGCGGACCGGGGTGCCCCGAGGTCATCCGACCTCTCTGACCTCCGGATCCGTGACGAGGGTCATGAAAGGGTGAGGTAGAACACAGAGAGATTGCGTCTGAATGTATTTTTGATGATAACCACTTTATAGCTTAGAGCAAACAAAATTCTTTCCACCAGAACTCAGCTTATTTTGATAAGGAAGCTCTGACTGAAAGCGCATTCACACATAGGTTCCTTCAGCATGTTTCGTTACATTCACTCACAGTAAATGCTTAATTCATTAGTCATGTTTTAAATTGTTTGTAAAATAAATTCTTACTTTGATAAACGTGACTCGTTCTTGAAGTAACACGAAGTGTGGTTGATGACTGAAAAAAAGGTGGTGCTCACTCCTCACCCCTGCCACATGGACCTCAAGGGATAAACCATCAATCCTGCTCAATGGTCAACTTTCCTCGCTGGGTCACACCCATTAGGACAGTGGGAGAGTTAAACTTGTTAATTTTGGTTGGACAAGCAAGACGTTTGGACGCCTTTGGTTGAAGCAAAATAGTTTCTTTTAAAAAGAATGATGTATACATTTTATATAGATTACTCCACCAGGTGTGTGTGTGTGTGTGTGTGTGTGTGTGTGTGTGTGTGTGTGTGTGTGTGTGTGTGTGTGTGTGTGTGTGTGTGTGTGTGTGTGTGTGTGCGTGTGTGATGTATTCCCCACCTTTAGCTGCTGGAGTTTGCCACCAGCTCCACCATACTGAGGAATAAATAGTCTAGTGGAGTGTTTTAAAAGTTTAACTTCTGACCACATTTATTACTTACTTCATTACTTTTCTGTTAATGCCGGACCTACCAAGTTTAATTGGCAGCTTTAACTTTTATTCTCATCTTATTATTCCTGTCTGCTTCATATTCTCTATGCCCCATTCATCATTGGACCCTTCTTAAGCAAAGAAAGGCAGAATAATAAGCTACTCTGTACCAGTGAAGGTTAAGTAAAATTATCTTGCTCATTCTTGCCTTAAATGATGCATGTTGTAATAAATATATAGCTATTTTTTATATTAAACGAGTCAATATAGTAAAACAACCCAGCATTTAGGGCTTGCATACATCCTTGGTTCATCTCTTGCCTTTATCTAGCAGCTCAGTAACCGTCTGTTTTAAGGTCCTGAATTCTAAACGGTTGTTTCAGCAGAGGAAAAGCCATCCCGTCAAGGTAACAGGATGACATTCAGAAACTCTTTAAAAACAAATTCATCCAAGCCTCCTCAAAAGCAACGTATACAGCAGCTAAATAAGAAAACAGTAGCGCTGGAGGTCAGAAGCTGCTTTAGAAAATGATATGCTATTTGAAGTGATGATTTTCTCCTCGGCGCTTGTGCCTACATTAAGGATTGCCTCTAAAAGCTTTACCCGGCTGGTGGCTCCACACCGTTTTCAGGGTGATGGATGGAGCAGGTCTCTGATCGCTCCTTTTCATATTGTTCTCTGGGCACACAAGGCCGACACCCCCTCATTAATAAACCTCAGTGATTATTTTCCAAGCCCCCCCCCCCCCCCCCCCCCCCAC